AGAGCGGTAAACTGCACGTACCAGCTGCTGACTGGCCCACAGGCGGGCCAGATGTGCGGGCGCGTGGGGCACACCGCCGCTCGCTGCTTCCGTCGCCTGAATGACCTCTACCGTCGTCACTTCGGCCCGCAGGTGCATGTTCCCCCCTGGCCGGTCTTGCTTCGTCGTGGATTTCCTATATTTGGTATGGATATGATTCAGATTGACCATGCCTTATATTCTCTGTAATTAGATGCTTCTAGTGTTGCTAGTTTTTATTATCCTGCTATTTGTAGCCTTGGAGCTACTGCTGTGTGTTGTCTAGGATTCGTTGCTGCATCAGGCGTAGGACCTGTTAGAGACTCTTCACCGGGCCCCCCCTCGTCTTAGACTCTCGAGCGTCTCGGTGCTTCTTTCGAGACAGTACTGCTCTCACCCCGCTTCCTACGCCTGTCCGTGTCGCACTAGTAGACTCCTCTGCCACAGCTGTCGCCAAAGCACCACCACTCTCCCCTGTCCGGCTGTCCCTTCCGGCTCCCTCACAGGTCTGCACATCCCCTCATCTGCTAGGAACTCAGTGGGTGTCGGTCACCTCTAGGACCGAGGCGTCACCACTACATTCCCTGGCCGCGAGAGACACGCTGCTTGCACAGACACAGTCACCGGTCAACACTTAGCTACCTTTGAGCGTGACCCTGGATCAGGTCTCTTTACCCTGCACACTGAGTCCCCGCTCACTGCTGTGTCTGCTGAGGTCGTCGCGTCCTGCTCCTGTCGCTCACTCGCCCACCCGACCCTTCCGTGGCACCACCGCTTAGGTCACCCTGCACTCTTGCGTCTTAGGCACATGTACCAGTACAGTCTAGTCACTGGTTTCCCTGTGTCGCTCCCCGCCTTGCCTCCGTCGGTAGCGCCAATGTGCACCTCCTGCGTCGAGGGCCTGCAGTGCGCCGGCCCTCATTCCTCCCCGTTTCCTCCTACCACAGCACCACTACAGACACTACACATGGACGTCTGCGGCCCTGCCCCGGTCCATGGTCTTAGTCAGGAGAGTTACTTCCTAGTCGTCATCGACGACTTCTCGCGGTTCACCACAGTTTTCCCGTTGGAGCGGAAGGCCGACGTGCCGACCGTTCTCCTCCCGTGGCTTCTCACTCTTCGCACTGCCCACCGACTGTCTGTAGGTCGCTTACACTCTGACCGCGGTGGCGAGTTCGCCTCTGGCTCTCTAGGACGATTCTGTCGTGCGGAGGGCATCCGCCAGACGTACACACTGCTGGACTCCCCACAACAGAATGGGGTCGCTGAGCAACGCATTGGCCTGATCATGGAGGTGGCTCGCACCTCCATGATCCACGCCGGTGCACCCCATTTTCTGTGGCCGTTCCCTGTGCGCTACGCTACTCACCAGCTTAACCTGTGGCCGCGCTCCCAGCGACCACAGGTTTCGCCGATCCTCCTCTGGACCGAGTCTCTCGGTGACGCGTCTGCGTTCCACATCTGGGGCAGCCTTGCTCACGTCCGCGATACTGTCACGGACAAAATCTCACTCCGCACTCTTCCCTGTTTTCTTCTTGGGGTTCCTGCTTGACGCCTCAGACTGGCTGTTCTACCACCCCTCACACCACCGTTTTTACCACTCTCGTGACGTCACCTTCGACGAGACGCTCCCCTACTATTGGCGTTTCCCGCACCGCAGCGCTCCTATGCCTCCTTCTCCTCTCTTCCTTGTCCCTGCCCCCCCTGCCGCACCCCTCCCGCCCTGCGCGGCCCAGTCTGGTGTCTCCCACGCCACTCAGTTCCCCTCGGTTCCCCCTGTGAGGGAGTCGGCTGACTCTGGGGGCCCAGCTGCTGGGGGTGCGCTTGCTGTCCCTGTGGCGCCTCCCCCAGCCTTGGTCCCCTAGGCCCCCCAGCCGCCTGCTCCCTTGCCTCAGCAGCAGCAATCGTTGCCGCAGCAGACTCCACGGCCGCAGCAGCAGCAGCAGGGAGCAGTGGGCTCTGGGGGTGCTGGTTCTGGGGGTGCGAGTTCTGGGGGTGCTGGTTCTGTAGGTGGTGAGACTGAGGGTGCTATTCTTGGGGGTGCTGTTTCGCGGCGTGCGGGTGGCAGCTGGGGTGCCACTGGAGGTCCTGGAGCAGACAGGCAGCAGCAGCAATAGTAGCAGCAGCAGGTGCAGCCGCCGCAGCAGGAGCCGCTGCAGTCTGCCCTTCGTCTCCTTGGTCTTGCTCCAGGTTCCCCTGTCAGCCCGCCCGTTCCCCCTACGGTGTGTGACCGGGTTTTCGGCCCGTTGTTTCCTCCTCCGGACTCCTCTCCGGCTCGTTTCCCCCCGCGCTCCCCTCTGTCCCCTGATCTGTCCCCCGTCCCCCCTCGTCCCCAGTCCCTAGTTCTTCCCCACTGGGTTCGTCGCCCCTCTGGTGCTCGTCCTGTCTCTCCCTGTCCTAGTGTCCACCCTATGCTCCTTTGTTCACGTGCTCCTCCCGTCACAGTCCTCCCGTTGCCTCCCCTGTCGTCGCTACGGTTGTCCCCCCCTCCTCACTCCGACGCTGTTTGCACTGCTCGTCCAGTCCTGTCGCACCTGCTTGCGTCGCTTGTCACTGAACCTAGTGTTCCTCCTGAGTCTGTCTCCGCGCTGTTTGCACTGCTTGTCCAGTCGTGTCGCGCCTGCTTGCGTCGGTGCTGTCGCTGACTTTGCTGCTAGCCACCGCCTTGACTACGTGTCATTCTGGTCTTTGAAACTGTCTGTCCTCCGTCCGTCGGGGGTGCACCTGCCCTTGGCAGTGACGCACTAGAGGACAGGCAGTACGAGTTGGCCTACCTTGCTGCCGTTGCTCCCCATCTCTGCTCCATGCTTGTATCCCCAGAGGGCGACCCAGACGCTCTCGACATCCCTGTTCCGCGCTCTTACGCTGAGGCGGTGTCGGGGCCCTGGGCAGCCCAGTGGATACAGGCCATGGAGACTGAGATGGCATCCTATAGATCCACTGGCACCTATGTCGACGCAGTTCCCCCACTTGGGGCGAACGTAGTCGATGGCATGTGGATCTACAGGGTGAAGCGCGCACCTGGAGAGCCGCCGAAGTTCAAGGCGCGTTACGTGGCTAGAGGCTTCAGTCAGCGTGAGGGAGTGGACTTCTTCCATACTTTCTCCCCGACCCCGAAGATGACTACTCTTCTGGTCCTTCTTCACATAGCCGCACAGCGTGACTAGGAGCTTCTCTCACTCGACTTCTCCACAGCGTTCCTGCAGGGTAGTCTGCATGAGCAGATCTACCTCAGGCGCCCTCTAGGCTTCTCTGGGTCCTTCCCACCTGGGACCCAATGGAGCCTGCGCCGTCCTGTCTACGGCCTTCGTTAGGCACCCCGTCAGTGGCACGACACGCTTCGCACCACTCTTGCTGAGCTGCAGTTCTTTCCGTCCTCTGCGGACCCCTCTCTCTTTGTTTGCACAGGTCAGACACCGTTCTACATTCTAGTGTACGTAGACGATCTCATCTTTGCTACTCTCGACAGAGTCGCAGTGGCCTCAGTGAAGGCCGAGTTACTTAGGAGACACACCTATACAGACTTGGGGGAGCTGAGGCGCTATCTGGGCTTGGAGATCTCTCGTGACCGTGCCGCTCGCACGATCACACTCTCCCAGTCCCATATGGTGCAGCAGTTCCTCCAGAGGTTTAGTCTCCAGCTCTCCTCAGCACAGCCCACCCCCCTGCCTGTGGATCACAAGCTCTCTGCTCCTATTCCGGCTGAGCCGGTCGAGGCTAGTGGTCCATACGCAGAGCTGGTGGGGTGCCTCATGTACTTGATGACCTGTACTCGACCAGATCTAGCGTGCTCTCTTAGTCTCCTAGCTCGCTTTGTCGCGACAGGCAGACACCGACCAGTCCACTGGTCGGCTGCCAAGAGGGTACTGCGATATCTGGCGAGCACATCAAGACTGGGGCTAGTGCTAGGAGGACGGAAGCGAGTGGTGCTCACTGGACACACTGACGCGTCGTGGGCAGACGACTTGGAGACGCTCAGGTCGACTCAGGGCTACTGCTTTAGTCTTGGTGCTGGTGCACTCTCGTGAAGGTCCACCAGGTCGTCGTCTGTAGCTCAGTCCAGCTGTGAGGCAAAGATCTACGCTGGGGCCATGGCTGCTCAGGAGCTCCGCTGGCTGACGTTCTTGCTCACTGACTTAGGTGAGCAGCCTAGGTCTGCCCCGGTCCTGTTTGCTGACAACAGGGCCATGATCCTCTTGTGTTAGGAGGCACAACTTGAGGGCAGAGCGAAGCACATCCAGCTGCGGTACTTCCTGCTGCGAGAGTTGCAGCAGCGCGGTCAGGTCCGTGTAGTACAGTTGGCCTCAGAGCCAACACCGCTGATATCTTCACCAAGGCACTTGCGTCTCGTGACCATCAGCGGTTCTGTACTCAGCTTGGTCTAGCCTGAGTAGCAGCACCTCTCCTTGTATCCTGAGTCATACTATACCTGCCTGTACTTGTGTTATACTTGCTTGTCTTGCTACACTTGCTGACTGGCCTTGTGGCCTCTTGTCTCAGTGCTCAGACTAGTACCGTACTGCCCTGAGTTTTCTTATTACACTCATCAGAGGTCGGACTAGTAGTGTTGCCGTGGTGTACCTTTCTTGTTAGGAACTGCCACTATCTTGGCTAGGGGGTGTGTCAACAAATATAATTGTCTATGCTAGGTACAGTATATTTGTTATAGCCTTAGTTAGGTCAGTTCTTTGAGGGTACATTCCCACCTTTGTAACCCTCAGCCTTCCTCCCTTAGTCAACTTTTCTCTCGACATTCTGAGGACTGTCCCTCCCAGTGGGGGACTTAGCCAAATCCTCTGGGTTGCCATGGGTACGGGAGGACTGTCCCTTCTAGTGGGGGACAACCAATTTTCTGGTGTTACACGAGGGCTGAGTGGGTAATGTCTTTGGCAGTGGGGGACTTAGCCACATTTATGGGTTGCGATGGGTGTATGAGGGATGACTCTTGGATTGGGGGGACTTCAGCCGAAATTTTTAGGTTGGCAAGGGGGAGACTTTTAATAGCAGGGGATCACACCAATAAAGACATTTCATTGTTTCAAGAAAGCGAAATAAAACGGAAATAGCATGCTCAATCAAGAGAGGAATAAGATGAATGAAATTAACATTCAATGACTGCTAGATCACTTTATTATCACCTAAGGCGCAGCTTGCAACAAGTCAGCTCAAGCTTCCTTTCCTCAGACTTCCTGACGAGCTACCGTCCTCCACATCCAGCTTCATACTGCTGTTGCTCGCAGACGTGCGAGCAGTGGCAGGTCAGATTTGCGGCGGGCTCATGTGGGGGAGGGTGGACTGCGGCAGGGAGACAGTGATGTGGGGCAGCGTGATCTGCCCCCCTGCTGCCTGCGCTGCCGCCTCGCCCTCCAGCAGCTGCACCACCTGTGGATCACACAGAGATGAGTGGGAGGGGGGGGTGGGGGGTCATGAGGAATTAGATACCGCATGAGATGGGAGCTATGCATCAGAATAGAAGGGGCAGGTAAGGAGGATGGTGGGAGAGAGGGTGACGGAGCATTACACAGACTCCCGTGACATAGACTCGAGGAATGGCAGGGTGGACTGACATGGGTCATGGCGGGGCGGTGGTCGGGGTGGTGGTTGATGCAGAGGAAGATGATGTGCACGAGGCCCCTCAGCTCCACCTCGTTGTAGTCCCCGAAAAGCAGCGGGTCCACCAGCGCGCCCAGCTGCCCCTTTGCCACCACGTCCTCCGCCTGCAAAGGGGAGGGGAAGGAGGGGAGGGGGAGAAGGAAAGATACAGGAAGGGATTGAGGAGTGAGGAATGGCAGCGATGCGAGCACGAGGTGGTAGCAGCAGACCTGCCAAGGACTGGCCAGTGAAGGGGGGTTGGGCGGGGGTGCATACCCAGGTGACGAGCTTGGAGTCGCCGAGGGGCGAGCGGCCGGTGACAAGCTCCAGCAGCAGCACGCCGAAGGCATACACGTCCACCTTCTCACTCACCGCTGACCCCCCCAGGTACTCCGGCGCCACGTAGCCCCACGTGCCCTGCACCTGTTGGGGGGGGGGGGGGGTGTGGAGGGGGAGGGTGGGCATGCGAGGAAGAGTGAGAGAGACAAGGGTGAGAGGTGTTTGTGGTTATGGCACGTGGGCAACAACATTGGCCGCATGGGCACAGAGACAAAAGGAGGGAGGATGGGAAAAGCAGTGTTGCAGTGCGGGCAACAGCATGCGTGCCCGGTGCCATACCCGGGTGGCGACATCCCTCTCGTGGTCCTGCAGCATCTTGGCGAGCCCGAAGTCAGCGATGCGCGCCTCCATGTTGGCGTCCAGCAGGATGTTGGACGGCTTGATGTCACGGTGCACGATGCGCGGCACACACCCCTCGTGCAGGTACGCCAGCCCGCGCGCCACGCCCAGTGCAATGCGCACGCGCGTGGACCATGGCAGACGTGCCTCCTGCCCGCCTGGGAAGGGGGGGAGAGGGGAGGAGGGAAGGGGAGACAAAAAAGGGTATAAGGGGAGCCACACTTGGGGGGATGGATGACTGAAGCAGAAAGAAAGCATGCAAGTGCAGGCGACAGAGCCTCGCCATGTAGCCATGTGTGTCTCACCGTGCAGGTGCTGCGCCAGGCTGCCACGTGGCATGTACTCGTACACGAGCATGCGGTGCTGCGCCTCACTGCAGAAGCCCACCAGGCGCACCAGGTGGCGGTGGCGCACGAGGCTGAGCAGGTCCACCTCCGTCTCGTACTCGCGCTCGCCCTGCCCGCCCGCGCCCTGCTCGCCCTCCTCCCAGTGCAGCACCTTGATCGCCACCGCCTCGCCCTCCTCGCCCGGCTGCCCCTCCCCCCCGCCGCCGTCCACGGCGGGCAGCACGCCGTGGTAGACGTGGCCAAAGCCCCCGCGACCGAGCAGCGTGGTGGGGTGGAAGCCGTTGGTGGCGGCCACGAGCTCGTCCAGGGAGAACAGCAGCGACCCCTCCAGCCGCGCCGCCGCCGCCTTCTTCGCCTTCTCCGAGTACACTGTGGGGGGGAGAGGGGGGGGAGTTGGTGGGAGTGTGTAAGAGAAGAGTGGGTTGAGGGTGTGGGGTGAGTTTGTGGGCAGCAGGGCAACAAAAGAAGCCAGCGAGTACTTGGCAGAGGAAGGGGAAGCGAGGTGGCAGCAGTGAGTGTACCTTTTGTGTGGCCATTGGAGTCCTTGGACGTCCACTTGCTGCAGACGCCTTTCTTCCCACCCGACCCCGAATCCGGCAGCCACAGGCTCACAGAGTCGCCCCCCTCGCCCTTGCCCTGCAGCGCCTGCAGCTCCTCCCGCCGCCGCTCCCCCTGCGCGCGCCGCATGTGCGCCAGCAGCAGGGCTGCCAGCACCAGCGCCGCCACCCCCGCCACTGCCGCCGTGGCTATGCCCGCCACGGCAGCCGGGGAGAGGCTTGACTGCTGCTGCTGGGACTGATCAGGTGAGCCGTCTGACGTGGCAGCAGCAAGGCCCTCCACGTCAGAAAGAAGGGGGACGCGTGCGGGACAGTCGGGGTAGCCGGGGTAGTTGCAGAAGCCAGCATTGCCGTCCAGACTGACAGGGGGAGGAGGGGAGAGATGGTGGGTGAAGAGTGGAGGGATTAGAAAGCATGCAGAGGGATGAGGCAGAGCCCAAGGTGTGCAGCGGGAAGGAGCGGGAAGGAGCAGGAAGGAGCAGCATAAATGCCAAAAAGGCGAGCAGGAGGAAGCGAAGAGGAGGGTTGGATGCAGAGGGTGGTGGGCGGTGGTAATGAAGCTTGAGCGCGGAGTGGGGGGAAAGCTGCTGGATGGTGGTTGGGGGGGAGAGGAGAGGAGGGGGGAGGCACTGACTAGAGCGTGGACTGAGACAGCAGCAGCTGCTGGGGGATGTCTCCCGACAGGTTGTTGTGGCTCACATCCCTGGCACGGGGAGAGGAGGGGGGGGAAAGAGGACAGGACTATGAGCGATGGGACTATGAGCGATGGGACTATGAGCGATGGGACTATGAGCGATGGGACTATGAGCGATAGGACTATGAGCGATGGGACTATGAGCGATGGGACTATGAACGATGGGACTATGAGCGATGGGACTATGAGCGATGGGACTATGAGCGATAGGACTATGATCGATGGGACTATGAACGATGGGACTATGAACGATGGGACTATGAGCGATGGGACTATGAGCGATGGAACTATGAGCGATGGGACTATGAGTGATGGGACTATGGGCGATGGGACTATGAGCGATGGGACTATGAGCGATGGGACTATGAGCGATGGGACTATGAGCGATGGGACTATGAGCAATGGGACTATGAGCGATGGGACTATGAGCGATGGGACTATGAACGATGGGACTATGAGCGATGGGACTATGAGCAATGGGACTATGAGCGACGGGACTATGAACGATGGGACTATGAGCGATGGGACTATGAGCAATGGGACTATGAGCGATGGGACTAGGAGCGATGGGACTACGAGCCATGGGGGAGAGGTGGCGATGGGGGAGAGGTGGCGATGGGGTAGAGGTGGCGTTGGGGTGGCGGCTGCGTGAGAGGTGAGGTGGCAAGAACCACAGGGAAAGAACGCAAGCGCTGTGCGGGTGGCAGCAAAGAGTAAGAGGGAGGAGAAGGACTACAGGCGCTACTGACAGGATGACGTGGCACTGAACTGACAGGATGACGTGGCACTGACAGGACGAGGTGGCACTGACAGGATGACGTGGCACTGACAGGACGAGGTGGCGCTGACAGGATGACGTGGCACTGACAGGATGACGTGGCACTGACAGGACGAGGTGGCACTGACAGGACGAGGTGGCACTGACAGGATGACGTGGCACTGACAGGACGAGGTGTTTGATGTTGCGCAGAGAGTAGGCGGCGATGCTGGGAGGCACGTAGCCGGTCAGGCGGTTCCCCGACAGATTGCTGCACAGCGTGCACGCAGCGGAGGGAGGCAGGCGGTGGGGGGGGCGGGGAGGAAGGAGAGGGCGGGAAGCATGTGTGGTCTGGAGATGAGAAGGAAAGGAAGGAAGACGATGGATGGATTTGGCAAGTGGATGCATGGTTCACAGAGCATGGTGCGAGGGCACAGAGCATGGTGCGCGGGCACAGAGCATGGTGCGCGGGCACAGAGCATGGTGCGAGGGCACAGAGCATGGTGCGCGGGCACAGAGCATGGTGCGAGGGCACAGAGCATGGTGCGCGGGCACAGAGCATGGTGCGCGGGCACAGAGCATGGTGCGCGGGCACAGAGCATGGTGCGCGGGCACAGAGCATGGTGCGAGGGCACAGAGCATGGTGCGCGGGCACAGAGCATGGTGCGAGGGCACAGAGCATGGTGCGAGGGCACAGAGCATGGTGCGAGGGCACAGAGCATGGTGCGCGGGCACAGAGCATGGTGCACGGGCACAGAGCATGGTGCGCGGGCACAGAGCATGGTGCGAGGGCACAGAGCATGGTGCGCGGGCACAGAGCATGGTGCGCGGGCACAGAGCATGGTGCGAGGGCACAGAGCATGGTGCGCGGGCACAGAGCATGGTGCGCGGGCACAGAGCATGGTGCACGGGCACAGAGCATGGTGCGCGGGCACAGAGCATGGTGCGAGGGCACAGAGCATGGTGCGCAGGCACAGAGCATGGTGCGCGGGCACAGAGCATGGTGCGCGGGCACAGAGCATGGTGCGAGGGCACAGAGCATGGTGCGAGGGCACAGAGCATGGTGCGAGGGCACAGAGCATGGTGCGCGGGCACAGAGCATGGTGCGCGGGCACAGAGCATGGTGCGCGGGCACAGAGCATGGTGCGCGGGCACAGAGCATGGTGCGCGGGCACAGAGCATGGTGCACGGGCACAGAGCATGGTGCGCGGGCACAGAGCATGGTGCGCGGGCACAGAGCATGGTGCGAGGGCACAGAGCATGGTGCGAGGGCACAGAGCATGGTGCGAGGGCACAGAGCATGGTGCACGGGCACAGAGCATGGTGCGCGGGCACAGAGCATGGTGCGAGGGCACAGAGCATGGTGCGCGGGCACAGAGCATGGTGCGAGGGCACAGAGCATGGTGCGCGGGCACAGAGCATGGTGCGAGGGCACAGAGCATGGTGCGCGGGCACAGAGCATGGTGCGCGGGCACAGAGCATGGTGCGCGGGCACAGAGCATGGTGCGAGGGCACAGAGCATGGTGCGCGGGCACAGAGCATGGTGCGCGGGCACAGAGCATGGTGCGCGGGCACAGAGCATGGTGCGAGGGCACCGAGCATGGTGCGAGGGCACAGAGCATGGTGCGCGGGCACAGAGCATGGTGCGAGGGCACAGAGCATGGTGCGCAGGCACAGAGCATGGTGCGCGGGCACAGAGCATGGTGCGCGGGCACAGAGCATGGTGCGCGGGCACAGAGCATGGTGCGAGGGCACAGAGCATGGTGCGCGGGCACAGAGCATGGTGCGCGGGCACAGAGCATGGTGCACGGGCACAGAGCATGGTGCGCGGGCACAGAGCATGGTGCGCGGGCACAGAGCATGGTGCGCGGGCACAGAGCATGGTGCGCGGGCACAGAGCATGGTGCGCGGGCACAGAGCATGGTGCGCGGGCACAGAGCATGGTGCGCGGGCACAGAGCATGGTGCGCGGGCACAGAGCATGGTGCGCGGGCACAGAGCATGGTGCGCGGGCACAGAGCATGGTGCGAGGGCACAGAGCATGGTGCGAGGGCACAGAGCATGGTGCGAGGGCACAGAGCATGGTGCGAGGGCACAGAGCATGGTGCGCGGGCACAGAGCATGGTGCGAGGGCACAGAGCATGGTGCGCGGGCACAGAGCATGGTGCGAGGGCACAGAGCATGGTGCGCGGGCACAGAGCATGGTGCGCGGGCACAGAGCATGGTGCGCGGGCACAGAGCATGGTGCGCGGGCACAGAGCATGGTGCGCGGGCACAGAGCATGGTGCGCGGGCACAGAGCATGGTGCGCGGGCACAGAGCATGGTGCGCAGGCACAGAGCATGGTGCGCGGGCACCAGTGTGGCGATTGAATAGAAGCACGGAAAACAGACAAGGGAGTGAGCTCACAGGAAGGGAGTGAGCTCACAGGAAGGGAGTGAGCTCACAGGAAGGGAGTGAGCTCCACAAAGGAGCAACCTTTGAAGATCTGAGGGATGCGCCCAGTGAGGTTGTTGGCCCCCAGGTCGCTGGGGGAAAGAGGGTAAGCAGAGGAACGAGAGCAGGGGGATGAGAGCAGAGGGATGAGAGCAGAGGGATGAGAGCAGGGGAGGTGAGAGCAGGGGAGGTGAGAGCAGGGGAGGTGAGAGCAGGGGAGGTGAGAGCAGGGGAGGTGAGAGCAGGGGAGGTGAGAGCAGGGGAGGTGAGAGCAGGGGAGGTGAGAGCAGGGGAGGTGAGAGTGGGAAAGACGCAGGGAAGAGGACAATCCATTACCCTCTGCGCAGTATTACATGCCTTAAAAACTGCACGTGCGACTAGAAATGGAGTTAAGAGAGGGGGGTGTGCGCATTACATGTAGTAGAGAGAAGGCGCGTTCTCTATGGACTGTGGGATGGTGCCCGAGAGGTGGTTGCTCTGCAGCTCGCTGGTGGGTGGCACGGAGGGAAGCAGGGGAGAGGGAGGACGCGGAAAAGGAGGTGAGTACACAGCCCTGTCAGCACTGCAGCAACTGACCATTGCATGTTTGCCACTGGTCACACCATCACGCTTCTCCATACACACACCCTCTCTCATCTTTCAGTTCTGGAAACGTTCCACCCATGCCATGCCATGCCCCTCTCACATGTGCTGCCATGCCCCTCTCACATGTGCTGCCATGCCCCTCTCACATGTGCTGCAGAGGGGTCGCAGTGGTGAAGTTATCGGGAATGGTCCCTTGAAGCTCGTTGGAGAACAGAATGCTGTCGATGGGGGGGGGGGGGGGGGGAGATAGCATCACAGTGAGTGGCCAAGGCAGGAATGCATTGTTGTATGATCAGGAGAAGGACAGGGGGGATGGAAACGAGAGGAGATGCAGAGCGCCAGGAGAACACAACATTGTGCAGCACAGCAGCGGAGGAGGGCCCTCACAGGTTGACAAGCGAGGGCGAGGCGATGAGCGCCGGGGGGATGGCGCCCGACAGAGAGTTGTAGGACACGTCTCTGGGGGGAGGGGAGGCGGCAGGCATTGATGGGAGTAGGCGGGCGAAGGAGTGTGAGAGGGCACATGGAGGGTGGTGAAGAAAAGAATGGGGGCAGCGAGGCGCGGAGCGTGCATGTGAGGGTCAGAGGGTGCAGCACAGGGAGCCAGCGAGAGAGGGTGAGACATGGACACAGCAGCTCTGATTCAACTTCCATTGGGAGTGGGCCACGTGGAGTGGGCCACGTGGCTCACATGCGTGAGTGGGCCACGTGGGCCACATGTGGGAGCAGGGCCGCGTGGCTCACATGTGGACGTAGGGGCGTGTGCTGAACTCTTCTGGAATCTCCCCTGTGAGGCTGTTCATTGACACGTCTCTGCGCACGCGGGGGTGGGGGGATGGAGGAGAAGAGAGGGCTGGGGCTGATGTCAATCCATGAGTGTGTCAACCATTCAAAGCAGAGTCAACTCATACACGTTTCATATGAAACCCACACAAGCATGCACCACTGCAAACATGCCATGCGTCTCCCTGCCTCCTCTACCCCTGCTGCGTGCTTGCGTTAGTGCGCTGCTCACATTCGGAGCAGCGAGGGCAGGCGCGGCAGCTGCAGATCACTCAGGCGGCCCGACAGTCCAATGCGCTGCAGCGTGCTGCGGAGGGGAGAGCAGGGGGGTGGGGAGGAGGGAGGGGAGCGACAAGGGGGATGAGAGAGGTGGTGGAGTTTAAAGATTGAAAGGGATGCACTCCCCCCCGATTCAAACGCCCAGGCACGTGGCAAGCAGGTCCGGCAAAAAGACTCAACGTCCGGCAAAAATACTCAAGGTCCGGCAGAAAGTCTCAAGGTCCGGCAAAAAGACTCAAGGTCGGCAAAAAGACTCAAGGTCGGCAAAAAGACTCAAGGTCGGCAAAAAGACTCAAGGTCGGCAAAAAGACTCAAGGTCGGCAAAAAGACTCAAGGTCGGCAAAAAGACTCAGGTCGGCAAAAAGACTCAAGGTCGGCAAAAAGACTCAAGGTCGGCAAAAAGACTCAAGGTCGGCAAAAAGACTCAAGGTCGGCAAAAAGACTCAAGGTCGGCAAAAAGACTCAATGTCGGCAAAAAGACTCAAGGTCGGCAAAAAGACTCAAGGTCGGCAAAAAGACTCTAGGTCGGCAAAAAGACTCAATGTCGGCAAAAAGACTCAAGGTCGGCAAAAAGACTCAAGGTCGGCAAAAAGACTCTAGGTCGGCAAAAAGACTCACAGGTCAGCCAAAAAAACTAACAGGTTTGGCAAAGGGAATGAGAGGCCCCAAAAAGGGGGTGACAGGAACGGGAAAGCGGCTCACAGGTCCTGCAGGCGCGTGAGGGCTGTGAGGGCGAGCTGGTCCGCACGGTAGTTGAAGGCCGACGACAGCAGCGCACTGCACGGCCGCACGGTACACGGTTGGGGGGGTGGGTGGGTTACGGAGGAGGGGAGGGAGACAATGAAGGGAGGGTTGGAAGAAAGTGAGAAGGAGACCGGGCTTCCTATGTCGGGGCATGATGCGGTAGAGAGGGGCCAATGGGCGACAGGAACGGGAGTGGGCAATGGAGGAGGGCTCACAGGTGCTTGAGCTGCGTGAGGTTGTGCAGGATGGGCAGCAGCGCTGCGCCGTCGAACGACACCTGCCCCAGCGCCCTGCACGCCACGCCGCACATGCACACACGGATCGACGCAGTCACGCACGGGCACGCAGTCACGCACGGGCACGCACAGGTTAGCTAGAACAGGCAAGCACGGGTACCGAGGGCATGCGACGCACGGGCATGCAAGGGGTGAGGATGCATGGCGTTGGCGTGGGCGTGGCACTCACAGCGCCTGCAGGTTGGGGAGGCGCAGCACTGCCGGCGAGAGCGACCCTTGCAGGCCAGCGCGCAGGGAACTGCCGCACAGAAGGGGGGTAGAGAGGAGGCGGAGGGAAGGGGGGAATGGTAAGACTTTCATCAGCATAAAGAGTGAAGAGAACAACGATTGATGCGTAGCCAGCGCCGCTCGCTGGAAGCAACAGGTTGGCATGTCGGGAGGTGACAGGCAGCATGCATGGAGGCGACAGCGTGACATACACGGAGGTGACACGTGGCATACACGGAGGTGACACGTGGCATACACGGAGGTGACACGTGGCATACACGGAGGTGACACGTGGCATACACGGAGGAGACACGTGGCATACACGGAGGAGACACGTGGCATACATGGAGGTGACGGTGGCGGTGCCGTCAGCCGACACGTTGCATGTAATTTCGGGCGCCCAGCCCAGCGGGCCACAGGGGTCGAAGTCGTCGCCCCAATGCGGCAGCCACTGGTACCCGTTGCTGATCGCCGCCCGCACCGCCCGCAGCACCGCCACTGGGGAGGCGCAAGGAAGGGTGAGGGGTGGAGGGAGGTAGAGGGGTGGAGGGAGGTAGAGGGATGGAGGGAGGTAGAGGGGTGGAGGGAGGTAGAGGGGTGGAGGGAGGTAGAGGGGTGGAGGGAGGTAGAGGGGTGGAGGGAGGTAGAGGGTTGGAGGGAGGTAGAGGGGTGGAGGGAGGTAGAGGGGTGGAGGGAGGTAGAGGGGTGGAGGGAGGTAGAGGGGTGGAGGGAGGTAGAGGGGTGAGGGTGTCTACAGATAGAGGTGTACAAAGGAGGTACCACAAGGGAGGTACCACAAAGAAGATTTAGAAAAGAGATGCGACAACCAGAGCCAGCACAGAGAAAGACAGCAGCATGGGAACAAGCACACGGCATGAGCAGCTCAACGGTGGCGCTGGCCGACCTTCCGCGGCGGCTGTGACGATGTCGGCGCCGCCACTCGCAGCGTACGGCTGCTCTGCCGCGCGGGCGCAAGGCGGCGGAACCACAGCGAGCGCGAGCGCCAGCAGGAGAGGCATGAGGCGGCGCGCCCCCATCATGGCACGGGAGCTACTCTTCATCGGCATTCTCTGTGTTCACCGCTCCCTTTCTCAGATTCACGGCGAACCTTCTTCGGCGGCGTTTGAGACTGCTGCTAGCAATGACAACAGGCGTGAGAGGGCACGTGGTTTTGACCACTGGTTTCAGAAGTGGAGATTAGGGTTGTCCCAGGGCCAGGTCGCTGGATGGGAGGCCAGGGGCCACTGGGCGTGCCGTTGGAGGGGGGAGGAGGAGGGGCGCGCTGGCAGGCGAAGATGGGTCGCTGCGAGGGAAAGAGGCTGCCTGTAGCAGCCGTGGTTAGACAACCTCCTTCCTGGTAAAAGTTTTTTCTAGGGCGGACCGGGGCTGCACTCGTACTAAGTGGTCCCGCGGCGCAACAGCCGCTGTCGCATGCCACCATGGTGCTCGCCAAGAGGGCTGTAAGAACAGGCTGCGCCACGCCGCGTGCAGCCGGCGGAGCTCAGATCTGCGCGGATGGACGAGGCGCTAGGGAAACAAGCAGGGTGCAGGTAATCCCAACCGTCGTCCGCTGCTTGCGGTTGCATTTAGCGACAACTGTTGGAAACACAACCATCGCTGTTTTGCGCGTTATAAGATGGCCCGACGAACATTTAACTTTTCAGGCAAAAAAACCATTCTGTTAGATCAGCGGCTACAGCAATGTCATCAAATATGTTGGCAATCATGAATGCGAATTGCCCAATCTGAGCAGCATCTAGATCCGCTTGGAGTATTTTCTTTTCCGATGTAGATAAGCATAACATAAATATAAGGTTAAAAGAAATGCTAGAAACAAAATGTTGGAAATATCTCAAATGACTTAAGCGTTTCTGAAGTGTAACACTGCACTCGAGGAAGACTACAGGGGAGCACGCGAGTCAACGGAGGTTACATGAGGGGACAGACAAAGAATGCGGAAAGACTCGAAAGGCCGCAACTGGAGGTTGCGACTGACCGTTACAACATCACGGATGGTAACCGAAGCGGCAATCGAGTCGCTGTGCGACTCGATAAACCGTTCCTGTAACTGTACTCTACAACTGCTTTCTTATCTTCTATATATTGCTGTATGCTTGTTTCTTTAATCAATCACTTGTTCTCACATACTAGTACAAGGGTTCAACTGCCTCAACCTCCGCTGCACTACTCAAAGTCTCAAAGTCTCTACAACTGGGACTTAGTCTCTGCAAAAGATCCTAAGGGCTTTTCTCAGCCCAATATGGTATGAGAGCTGGTCAGAGACCAAACTCCCAACAACTACGCTCCATCAACAACCTGATTCAACAACTTCATTGATTACAAGACATGGACAGCAAGGGCAAGAAAGTCTCTACGGGCTCACCCAGCGGCCAAGAAACTCAACACGGCAACTCTGGTCTGCACACCTCAGGACTGCAGACAGAGACCGGGACTGCTCAAGAAACAACGGGAAGAGTACCAGAGATGGTGACCCCATCTCCCTCTTCAAGCGTGGACCCCAACCTTATGGAAAGGTTCTTCAGCTTCATGTCGCACTTCGACCAGCAGCAGCAGACAAGAACACCTGCGCATTCAACACAAAGCAATGGAGGAAACATGGGATTAGCGCCGATGAGCCTCGACAACTCATCGTTTGGGCGACACAATCAAGCGCCTACCTTTGCGCCTTATCACTCTTCACCGGGGACGTTCGATTTTATGCCGCCTCGTGCCCAACCAACAACAGCTGCATCACAACAAACACCAAACGAAATCTTAAGTCTCCAGGCGCAGTTCTCGCACGTGATAAAACTGCAGACATCCTCACCGTTCAACGGACACGACTTCTTTACCTGGAGCTTCGAGTTCGAGCTGCTGATGGAGGCCGCGCATCTTCTGGGATACTTCAACGGGTCCCTGCCATTCCCAAGCAACGGCACTGGAAAGGAACAAGAAATCTTCACGTATCAGTCGCTGCTGGCGTATACGGTTCTCCTGAGAAACCTGTCACCACAAGAGCAGCAGAGCATCAGAACATACAGGAGCTATGGAAACTCCGCGGAGCTCGCATGGCACCATCTCAAGTGCCTTTACCAAGCAAACGACAGCGTGACACAAAGCAGACTCATGCAACAACTGACAACAATACAGATGAAGACCGGGGAAAAGGCGATGCAGTATATGAGTCGCTGCCAGACCCTCCGCGACCGCCTGCTTCGGTGCGGAGGAACAATCACTGAAGAAAGCTTCGTAACACTTGTCCTCGCCGGGCTCGGGCCAGAATGGAGAACCACACGATCGCTTCTTCGCGCCCACGGAAGGATTTCGGAGATGCACCTCTGCGCCGAGCTTCACGCTGAACAACAGGAGATGGACCTGTTCGAAGAAAGACAACCAAGAAAGCAACAGCAGTTAGTCTCTACACTCAACGAAGAAACGACAACACCTACAATCGACGCGGCAAGCAAGAACGCGACAACAGGGGACTTACCTTCGTGCCGCCGTTCTGCCACAACTGCCAGACTTCCGGGCACTCCAAGGTCAACTGCAACCGCCCTCGCGTTTACCGTCCAGCAGACCCACAAGTCGCTTCCACTCAAGCAAGTCCCCCAAGGCGCTCTTCAACATCTGCACAACAAACACCAAACATTATCAATTGCATGGTACACATCGACAACTGCGCACCCGGATCACCACCCACCTATGCGCCAGACGAAGAAGAGCTGCCGCCACCGCGCTCACAAGGCCTTCAAGTCAATCCAACATATGCTGCGGTCGCCAACGCCGAACCCACCGGGCGAAACACCTGGTTCTTGGACAGCTGCTGCGGTCAACACATGTGCTCCTCGGGACGCTTCGTGCAACAGGAGAAACGCCTCAACCGCGACGTCGTCATCACCGTCGCCAACAACGAAAACCTGAAGACAAACAGACAAGGCGTGGTTCAGTTACAATCCATGGAGACAAACGTCATACTTCAGCTCAACAAAGTGCTCATTGTCGACAATCTGGGATACAACCTACTAAGCGTAAGCCAACTAATGGCCAAGGGGATTCACCTGGAGTGCGACTCCTACTCCAACGAGTTTCGGCTTTACCACGGGAAGGGCGGCCTCTTCATCGGTCGTGCCCTCCTGAAGTCCGGCATCTTCGTGTTGGACTTCGTCCCCGACCGCGGTACTGCCGACAGCGACGGTATCGTATCGTTCGCCGCCTGGACTCACCCGCCGGATCTTGATCCCGACTTCGACAGTGACGGCTTCTGGCACTCCAACACCATACCTGCAGCAGAGAGAACACGAGCATTAGCAGTTATCAGACAAGAAAGACAAGTACCCGCAAGTATCCCAACCAAACCATCACCTGCAGTATCGGCAGCAGGACCCAGCCGAGTCCCACCACCAGCGACCCGAGGACCGCCAACCGAAGCAGACCAGCTTATGCCCATCACACGAGAAGTTTGTCGAAGTCCCGCCTCAGTCGTCGCGTTCTTCTCCAACGCCGACATCTACCACCGCTCGCCCGGTCATCGCGCTTCCGACGACATCTGGCACCAACGTCTCGGACATCCTGCAAACAGCACGATACTACAAACAATCCAAGCAGAGGTGTTAGAACGCAACGCCCTTCTAACGACGAGCGGCCAAGAACTACGACGACCACGAGCACGGTGCTTCACGTGCCCCGAAGCAGATCTTCCTCATCAACCTTTCCCATCTCATCACAACCCAAGCGCACCTACTTACGCTCCGATGGAAAAGGTCTACAGCGATATTTTAAACATGCCTCGAGAAGACACCGAAGCCGACTTCAACTACGTCATCACGTTCATCGACGCAGCAACCAGATACGTTTGGCACTTCAATCTCAAAACGCGCGATCAAGCCTTCGAGGCCTTCACCACATGGCTTCCCATCGCCGAACGAGAATCAGGAACCAAGCTCAAGAGCTTCCAGTCAGACGGTGCACTGGAATACCAGTCACAACGCTTCAGGACCTATCTGGCGGAAAGAGGAATCCGACGCCTGGTGTCTCTGCCCTATGCTCACCAACAGCAGGGGGTAGCAGAACGCATGAACCGGACCTTGCAGACGACAATGCGAAAACTGCTTCTGGGGATGAGGCTGCCCACCACACTGTGGCCAGACGCGATGACACATGCAGTTCACCTGCACAACCTGTTGTCCTCGTCATCACTTCCCAACAACGCATCACCGCACCTGTTGTGGACAAGAAAAAGGGGCAGCACAAAATTACTCCGAGTTTTCGGCTGCATGGTACAGTACAGACCCCACACAGCCCGAGCAGGACGCATCACACAACGAGCTCGGTGGGGACTACACCTCGGCATCGCCAAACATTTTCACGCGTGGAAAATTCTCGACATACAAGACAAAAATACGGTGGCATCACGTGATGTTATCTTCTACGAGCGACTGACGCTGTAGCATTACCTGGACAACATCGCCAACACACAAGACCCCACCGACGGCTTCTCGGGACTTCGTTCCTTCGCCGATCGTGCTGCCGAAGCTGACGCGGCAGAAGAAGACGTACCTGGAGCCTCGGAAACTGCCGGACCACTCCCATTCTGTTCCGTATCTGTTCCACTCGACGACGACAATCCTCTCGATAGTAACAACCTCGACACCTTCTACCACTTCGCTGACCAATGTTACATTACACCCCACCCAGTTGACACAAATGTTTCAGAACGCATCGGTCCCAACTTCTCACCTGACCCAGAAGACGATGACGAAGCAACTTATTCCGGGAATGAAAATTCCCCTCGACACACACCCACGGGACTGCAGATTCTAGGCCTCTGGGTCTCCGTCCAGCATCCGCCGCCGCCTTCTCCGCGTGAGCCTTCGACCTTGTCGCAGGCTCTGGGGGGGGGAACATAAGGCAAAATGGAAAGAAGCGATGGAAAAGGAGTTAAAGGCTCTGCAAGACCGAGAAACATGGAAACTGGTACCTGCAACAAGCATCAACGGGAAGAACGTCCTCTCGGGGAAATGGGTGTACCGCATCAAGACCAACTCAGACGGCTCCATCGAACGATTCAAAGCTCGATGGGTCGTACGAGGCTTCGATCAACGATACAGAACTGACTACACAGAAACCTTCGCTCCAGTCTCCCGTCACACCTCATTACGCATCCTACTCGCCGTCGCGGCCACGAAGACACTACCACTACGCCAAATCGACGTCGCCAATGCGTTCCTATACGCACCTGTGGACGCTGAGATTTTCGTCGAACAACCCCACGGATTCATAGACGACCCCACGAAAGTATGCCGACTGACAAAATCCCTATACGGGATCAAGCAAGCCCCGCGGCTCTGGCAGCAGCACCTTCACGGCCGTCTCGCAAAAATCGGATTCCTACAACTGCCGCATGACCAAGGGATGTACCGACTGCAGAAGGGAAGAGAGTATGTCCTACTCATCGTCTACGTCAACGACCTGCTCTACATCGGCTCCACTACCGACATCGCCACCTGGTTCGAAGGGGAGTTGAAAGAAGACTTAACACTTACGGTGTCCGACGAAGTTACTCAGTACCTAGGACTGAATGTCGTCGAAGACGACACGGCGTTCTACCTACACGCTGGAAAGTACTCAGGCACCGTCGCGAAGAAATTCGGTCTAACACCGACTGCGGTCCCAACTCCCTACCGCTACGGGAACAACAACAGCGCCTCCGCAAAACTCCCCGCGAAGCAAATCCAGGAGTATCAACAGAAGCTCGGCTTCTCAAAACTAGAATTGAATAATCATTGAGTTAGAGAGTACATGCACATATACCTAAATGTTGTACCCTCTAGGAGGTTACCCTATACAGTCTATACAAACATGATCAATAAACATGTTTGACACACCCCCTGGACTGCATAAGGGAATGTCCTAAACAAGCAGCTCAGGGCGGCACTACTAGTCCAGCCTCTGAGACAAGGGTCTAAAAGACCAGTCAGAAGGAGTACAGACAAGACAAGAACAAGTACAGGGCGGCACTACTAGTCCAACCACTGTGAGAGGACACAAGTCCAGTCTGAGTGTACACATATATATAGGACAGTACAAAGTCAAGGCCCGAGTAAGTGAGGGACTACAGGAACCAGACCAAGCTGTACACAGTGCCGCTGATGATCTTTAGGCACAAGCGCCTTCGTAAAGATATCAGCTGTGTTGGCACCGGAGGCCAAGTGTACTACGCGAGCCTGACGACGCTGCTGGAGCTCGCGCAGGAGGA